ATTTGGAAGATGCGACTATGTATCGACAATTGGTAGGTAGTCTGATCTACTTAACCTTGACTCGACCTGACATTTCTTATGCAGTTGGTGTGATGAGTTGATACATGCAAAATCCAAAGAAGCCTCACTTGGAAGCAGTTCGACGAATACTGAGATATGTGAAAAGTACAATTGACTATGGTCTTTTGTACAAGAAAGGTGAAGACTGCAATTTAGTTGGTTATTGTGATGCAGACTTTGCAGGAGATCATGACACCAGAAGATCAACCACTGGGTATGTCTTCAAAATTGGTTCTGGAGTAGTTTCGTGGTGCAGCAAGAGACAACCAACGGTGTCTTTGTCAACCACAGAAGCAGAGTATAGAGCAGCAGCAATGGCAGCTCAAGAGAATGCATGGCTGGTACAGTTGATGAGTGATCTACATCAACCAGTAGATTATCCAGTACCATTGTACTGTGATAACCAATCGGCAATTCGCTTGGCGGAAAATCCAATCTTTCATGCAAGAACTAAGCATGTGGAGGTACACTACCATTTCATTAGAGAGAAGGTCTTGCAAGAAGAGATTGATATGAGACAAATCAATACAGATGAACAAGTTGCGGACTTGTTCACTAAAGGTTTGAGTACCGGCAAGTTTGAAAAGTTTCGTTGTCAACTCAGCATGGAGAAAAGAATGAGCTGGTGTTGAGGGGGAGTGTTAAAAGAGACCAACCCCAGCCCATCCTACACAAAACTAGAAACTTCTAGCATCTTGTAATATTAAGCATAAGCTATGTCGGTGGAGTACATAAAAAAATAAACTAGCTAGAATGATCTAGCAATGCCTAAGTCGGTGGGTGTGTGTGTGTGTATAATCATGTGCTAGAAAGATCTAGCAGCTTGTACAATTGTGTGGCTGCCATACAAAGCCCAATGGCGGTGGGAAATTTTAGTCGGCAAAACCACACCTATAAATAGGTGTGATGTTGTGATGCAATCAATCAAGCAAGCAAGCAACCAAGTGAGAGTGAGAAGTAAGAATAGTCTTGTAGGAGTGTGAGTGATCTAGAGTGTGTCTCTAGAAAGTGAGTGAGTGTCATTGCTTCTAAAGTTGTGTCTTTGAGTGTTTTAAGTGTTGTAATATTTTGTGAAGTGTAATACAAGTAATTTGTGTACTTGTTTTGTCTCTCCAACACTTGTGTTAGAGTTGTGTACTCTAAATTTTTTCTCAACACATGCTACCAAAGTTTTTCTTCTATCCTTTTTATTTTTATTTGTTTCATTAGGTACTTCTTCACAGCTAGAAGGTAACTGACTTATGTTAATATATTTTCACCCAGATTGTCACCGACTATAAGAACGATCAACTCCCACTGGTGTTGGATGCTCTAGAGAGGATGCATGCACATTTAACAGCTGCTGTTGTTTCAAACGATCCACTGTTTCTACAGGCAAGACTTAACCTTTGTCTCTATATCTATTCGATCACAGATTTTTCTTATCCCAAATCAACCGCGCAATTTCCATTTTCCTTATTCCGAAAGTCTATTTTTGCAGGACGTTATTGGGAACACGGTAAATGGAACTACTTATGCTGGACTGAGAGCAAGAACAACCGGAGCTCCACAGAATCACTGGTGAGTACAAAATCTCTTGTACTTTGAGTACTTCACGAGAAGATATCCGAGCGCTTATATATGTCAAACAATGATCTGTGACAGGTTTGGACCGGCTGGAGACCCGAGAGGAGCTGGCATTGGGACCCCAGAAGCAATAAAGCTGGTGTGGTCTTGCCATAGAGAGATCATCTATGATGTTGGTCCACTGCCAAAGCAATGGCAAACTCCACCTTCTACCTGAGAGCGCTGCACCATTAGGACTCGATGAGAAGAACGCGGCGCCTTCAGTTCAGTGTGAACAAGCATGTAGTTGTAGGTTCAGTTGCATCACTGATGAAGGACATAGCAGCTACCGCTGACCCTTTCGACATTTTCTCTAGTTAGAAATAAAACGAAGGGGATTTTCTTCTTTAAGTCCTTCTAGTTAGTTAATTGTCCCCTTGCCTTCTTTCCTTTCTGTGTTATATGCCTGATGGGAAAAGAAAGGGAGTGATAATCTATGGTAGTAGAGGAATGATGTGGTAATTTTATTTTGGGGCATTTAGATATGGGCTCAAAAAGTAAACACGGTTTTAGGTTACGTCCAGTATTATCTTTTCTCTATTTTTATTTCTTTTGTACTCATTTTATATATATATTTTAAATCTTATAGATAAATTAATATATTCTAATTTCATGAATTTTCTAATTTCAATAAATCTACTTAATATCTTTTAACAAAAAACTAATATACAAACACAAATCCAGACATACAACCCTAATTCAAGTAACAAATATATGAATGTATGTTATACCTATAAGCGAGATATGAAACCCAACTAAAAGGTACAAAAAATGTAATATACTTATGAGACATAGTAATTTGTGATACGTTGATTATAAAAAAAAATTGTCATATAAGTAGATAAATATAATTAACATGTAATATAGATTGATTATAAAAATTAAAAATAAAATCTATAAACGGGGCTTATAGCAGGTAGAAAAAGAAATAACAAGAAATAAAAAAGAAATAAATCTTATCATTAAAGAGGGAATAATTCATAAGAAAATAATTCAAACTTAAGAGTTTGAATTTATTTTAATAAATTGGACAATTTTTAATATTAGCTAAAAAAATTGGACATATATCAAGGTTTATTTCACTCATATAAATGGTGGATGATGATATATAATTGTCATTAATTTAATATCTAATTTTTCCAGACGCTTTTTATGATGACATAACTTTGTTGTGACATTGAACAATAAAATGTCTTTCCAAATATAATCATCTGTTAAACAAAAACAAAAACAAAAAAATTAACAAAAAGTTTTGACAAAAAAAAAAGGTAAATGGGCATAAAGGCCCAAAATTGGTATAGATCCATTTGGTTTCAGGCCCAATACCAAAAAATTGGCCCAATATTGGCTAAAACCCTATTTCCTCTTTCGTGTCCGCGAACTAAAACCCTTCCTCCCTCAGCAGTCGGCACCTGTAACTTTTTCCCAATCTCTGCACTTTCCGCCGCCGACGACGCCACACTTGGTAAGCTCTGTGATTCCTCCGCCATGTCGTTGCTCGAAGTCATTGCGAGAGCCTCGGCCAAATCCAAAACCCAATCCGCCCCATCAGACTACCCCATCGTTCTTGACCCGGAACCCATTTTTGAGAATTTGAAACCCAAATTCGACGATCCAAATGCCTCGGCTGCTGCAATCCCAATCGACGGATGGAAGATCTCACAAACGGACTCCGTGCTCATCGATTCGGGCAAGAAGTTCTTCACCAAGCTCCAAAAGAAGCTCAAAAACCCGACCAATTTCACCAAAGTTGAGTTCTTGGGAATCCTAAATCCGTTTGAGAACATTTGGGAGAAAAGGAAAGCTGGGGAATCGATTGGGGTCGATTCGTCGAATGATGGGTATTCCCGGGTTTTGATTGAGAAAGTTGGGAATTTGATTGGCAAGGATGTTGCTGGTTTGGTTTTGGATTCCAGTGTTGTTTTGGAGATTTGGGATTTGGTAGGTGTTTTGATTGCAAATGGGGTTTTCTCCAATTCTTGTTATCAGCATTTGGTTCCGAAACTCGTTGCAAAGAGGAGGTCGGAACTGCTTTGTCTTTGTGTTAAGCATGCTTCTGATCTCGGGTCATCGGAGTTGCTGCTCATCTTGAAGTACTTCCTTGATCCGCCTAAAGACAGTTATGCTAGCTCCATGGATGTGAGGAAGGAATGGGAGAGCCGGGCATTGGCCGCGGCTCAGAAGGCCGGAGATCAGAGTCTCTCAGACAAGAAATTAAGAGTTGCGAAAGATGCTGCAGTTTTGCTCATGGTAGCGTATGATGGGGTCTCTTCTGCAGAACTCTGCCTGCATTATCTAATGGTTTCGAAGAACCTCGATGAGGTGATGTTTTCGGCCGCGATTAGTAAGCTGAGTGGGAAGGAGATGAAGAGCTTGCTGCGGTATTTGGGTAAGTGGCTGAAGAAGTATGAGAGGTTTCCTCAGGCATCAACAGCGTCGGGCTTGAAGGCTTGTGATTGGGTTCCTAAGCTTGAAGATGTTGCGAAATGTATCGGAATGGTGCTGGACGAGAATTATTCTGCATTGGTGTTGCATCCGGAGTTTCACGAAGAGCTGAGATCGATAAACGAAGCAGTTTCTTCCTTGACCTTGGAAGCAAGGCTTTGCTGTTCTGTGGCCAATGTAGCTGGTAAATTGATGGCTGAAATTTGAGTGCAAAACTAGCTTCCATCACTATGTGTCATCTTCTTTCTGAATTGTTTTTGTGACGTTGTAATTTTTCTTACGGAAATTGCAGCATCTATAAAGTTCTAAGTTTCGAATGTTCATAATTCTTCTGTTTTATCCTTAAAGAATCAATGAATTTGTGTATGGCTACTGAGATACATGGGATTTATACCAGATGAACACCCGATAAGCAACAAAAACCGAAATAGGGTCGCCTATGTGTTCTTGTACTCATTTCTCGATCTTGCGTGAGCATGTCATACCCATGAGGCTGAAGATCGCCCACATCAAGATTTCTTGTGGGTTGTGGCATATGCTTCTGTCTTCGGCACACAAATTGAAGTTACCAAAATTGATCTCATGAAAAGACCGAAGAAGCTGACTCGCTTTGCCATCAAATACCTTCTGTAAGGTAGAAGGTTGATCGTTTATGGAGTCAGGAGGAGAGCGTTTGGCAACAAAAATCAAGGGTGCAATGGCTTAAGGAAGGAGATGCGAATACTAAGTTCTTCCATCAATCTACCCTACAAAGAAGAAGGCGAAATCAAGTAATATCGCTTAAAAATGGGAATGGGAACTGGGTGGATAATCCAGGGCAGATCCGGCGCTTAATTGATGACCATTTTGTGGAATTATTCACTTCTTCGGGCAACAGGGAGTGGGGTGACATGCTTGACTGCGTTACCTCGAAGGTTTCGGAGGAGATGAATGTTTCGTTAACGGCTACGTTCTCTGTGGAGGAGATTAAAACTGCTGCCATGAAAATGGGAGGGCTTAAAGCTCCGGGTCTTGACGGATTTCAAGGGATATTCTATCAATCACAGTGGGACATAATAGCTTTTGATGTTAATAATATGATTGTTGATTTGATGAACGGGTCTTTGCAGCCTTTGCGAATCAATGCTACTCATCTGGCTTTAATTCCGAAGGTTCAAAATCCGGAGTCTGTGTCTCAATTTCGACCCATAAGTCTTTGCAACTACTCCTACAAGATTCTCTCCAAGGTCTTAGCCAACCGATTAAAAAGACTGTTGCCAGTGTTGATCTCCGCAACCCAAAATGCGTTTGTTGAAGGAAGACAGATTCAAGATAACGTCGGTATTGCGCATGAGCTTTTCCATTTTCTAAAAAATAGAAAGACAAAGTGCAACTTTGAGCTGGGAATTAAATTGGATATGCATAAGGCGTATGATCGTGTGGAGTGGGATTTTTTAATGGCAGTTATGGAGAAGATGGGTTTTAATAGTCGATGGAGGAGTTTGATTATGGGATGCATTTCTACAGTGAATTTTTCCGTTCTTCTGAACGGACAGCCAGGTTCCAAATTCACTCCCTCAAGGGGGCTCAGACAGGGGGATCCTTTATCCCCTTATTTATTCTTGCTAGTCAGTGAAGTGTTATCACTCCTTATTCAACGGGAGAGTGATAGGGGGCGGATTGAGGGGATTCAAATGGACCGTGTCGGTCCCATGATATCTCACATTTTCTTTGCTGATGATGCATTGATCTTTCTCAAGGCGGAGGCGAGGAACTGTAGAAATTTAGTCCAGGTTATTGATGAGTATTGCTCGGCCTCGGGTCAACATGTAAATAAATCCAAATCTAGTGTGTTCTTTGGGGGGAATGTGCCAGAACCTTTATCTATCCATCTGGCTACCATTTTTGGGATGGAGAAAGTAGGGGACCCGGGAGTTTATCTGGGAGTGCTGGCCATCTGGGGTAGATCTAAAAGAAGTGGCCTTGCGTATTTAAAAGGAAGGCTTTTAGGAAAAATTCAAGGTTGGAAACGCTCCACTCTCTCACAAGCGGGGCGGGAAGTTTTAATTAAGGCAGTGGCGCAAGCAGTTCCGGCATATCCTATGAATCTCTTCAAGTTTCCTAAGATTTTTTGCGATGATCTGGATGCTTTGATATCCAAGTTTTGGTGGGGGCAAAAAGAAGGGGAGAACCGGATTCACTGGGTTTTTAAGGAACAAATGGGGAAATCGAAAGAAGAAGGTGGGCTAGGCTTGAGGTGCTTTACGGAGTTCAACAACGCTCTTTTGGTGAAACAGTGTTGGAGGTTGTTATTGGAACCAAACTCTTTGTGGGCGTCGGTCATTAAAGGCCAATACTTCCCCAACTGTTCTTTTTTCGACGCTAAGAGGGGTGGAAGAGCTTCATGGGCATGGTCAAGCCTTCTTGTTGGTAGAGAAATACTTCGGGGTGGTGCACACTAGCAGATAATGAATGGAAATGATGTCAGGGTTTGGGTGGATAGATGGCTGCCATCTATCCCATCAGGACACCCATCTCCCTTGGGTACGGTTCCTGTCTCTTTAAACCTCATGGTGAATTCTTTGTTAGGCACTGAAAATGGAAGCTGGGATATTGATTTCCTTAAACCCTTTCTGATGGAGGAGGAGCTCAAGGCGATTTACGAGACACATTCGGGTGACCTGATATTGAAAGACAGATTAATGTGGCATTTTGTAAAGCATGGAATCTATTCTGTCAAGTCCGGATACCATTGGGATATGACCTGGACTCGACAACAACGAATTGGAAACCCTCACAGATCTGCCCTCATCCCAAAGCAGGTTTGGAAGTGTGTTTGAAAGCTTGAGGTTCGGCCAAAAATAAGATCCTTTATATGGAAGACCTTACAAGAGGCAGTGGCCACGAAAGTAAATTTGTTTATGCGTCGATCCTCTTCTTCAACAATCTGCCCTATTTGCAATAGGTATGAGGAATCATTGGTACATCTTTTTCTCCAATGTTCGTGGGTAGAGGAGGTATGGCTTAGGGGAAGGTTGACAAGAGGCTTGCGGAGGGGAGTGGTCACAACTTGGGCTAATTGGTTGGGTGATATTGTTGGTTCGGTAAATGGGCAGACAAGTGTGAGGAACAACATGCTTTCATATGTTGCTACAACATGTTGGTATATATGGAAGGCAAGATGCAATTTTCTCTTCAATCAACAACCTATCTTTCCTCGACAAATCATTGCAGTTATCACCCATTCTGTGGCTGCCTTCAAGGAATTTACTCAGGCTACGGTAATTAGTTTGCCAATTTCTGTCAATGGATCGGCTTCTGATGTCCATTGGTCTCCACCTTGTGTGGGTTTTATCAAAATTAATGTGGATGCAAGCTGGTTAATGAGTGGGGGTTCGGGTTTTGTGGGTGTTGTGGCTCGGGACGATGCGGGCAGGTTTGTGGCAGCAAACAGGATGAGGGTCACGGCCTCTTCTGTGGCTGTGGCAGAAGTTTTGGCAGTGCTGTATGGGTGTGAGTTTGGAAGAAACATGGGATGGAATTTTGTCATCGTGGAATCTGACTCTCAGGAATCCATATCCTGTATTCGAGACTTCGATACGATGGGCAGTTGGGAAGCTTTCCCAATTTTAGCGCGATGCAAAAGAATGGGGGAGGCTTTTAATGACTACCGCTGGTCTTGGGTTCCACGATCGGCCAATATGGCTGCGGATCTTCTGGTGTCGCGGCAAAGTAGGGAGGTATGTGATAATATTTGGGTCAACAGGCCCCCATCATCCCTTGTTCATGTTCTGTGTAATGATGGTCTCCCTTGTCCCCATTAATTTCTTCCTGGCAGTATGAGGAGTGACATTTTTAGCACTTGGTGCGATGTCGTCTTTACCTCTTTGTACTGCTTTTCCTTAGTTGTTGCTGCTTGCTTTTGCCTCGGGGTAGGCTTCTTTGTATCTTTGGCATCTTTGCCCGGTTGTTATTTAATCCAGTTCGCAAAAAAAAAAAAAAGGGAGGCGGCAGAATTTGACTTTAACTTTTTCCAACTCATTCTTAATTTAATTCTTCGTGATTATGGATTAGTATATGAACCATCATGTGACTACAAATTTTTCATATGTTTGTGGCCATGACCATCAGCCATGATCGGTGTGTGCGGGGGTATATGTATGTTGCGTTTACCGTCTGTGACAGAACGTACTAATGACTATTGTACGATTGTGCTTGTAGCAGTCAAGTAGGAGTTTTACTCCAGATTAATTTCTTGTCACTAAAGTAATGTACTCAATTGACACTTTTTATAATTTATTCGTGTTAATTAATGAAATCCTAATGGTATATTGTGAAAGCAAAAACCCTCCTTAATCTCACTATTTGGTTTGTTTAATTCGATATTTGGATTGAAGAGTTTACCTATTCTTGTTATCCAATCTTATTTCTAACACTATTTTAGGGTTTTAGGGTTATGCACTTGTGTCCCTTGTGCCGATCCGCTAAACTCAATAATTTCCTTCTTAATTTATTGGATACAAAATCATTTTCGAAAAGTAAATAGAAGTTATGTATAGTGTTGAAGCAACGACTTAAGATTCTTTAATTGCAAAAACAAAGCGTATACTATTGGTTTTCTATATATAACGATATATTTATACTAAATTAATTATGAACTCCCATTCATGATATTCGAACGTAAGAACATTCATTTACAAATGAAGTTTAAGCATGAGGCATTGGGTGTCGGCACAAGGGACACAAGTGACTAGTCTTCAACCACTGACCAATACAATCTTCATGATAAAAGTGTAAGCAAGGCAAGCGACTAACGTGAACACCATCCTCAAAGTCCTCCATGCAGATAACACACGATGTTTGCTGCTGCTCTCTCGTACCTTCTCCACCAAATATCACTTTCTCCAAATTCTCAATGGAAGATTCGTCTGCAGGAATAGGTCTGGCCTCGTACGTTTGCATCGACGACATTGCAACCCTATCGGCCAGCGACGTAATGGGATCACTACCAACAGAGGGCATTGGCAAATTCATATCAATTATGCCCACAACAATAGGCAGCATGGTGGTGTTGTTAGCATTGCCCAAGTTCGAACTCGATAATCCAGCAAGTTTGTGGAATACTTCTTCAGTAATTGCTGGATGTTCGTGTTCAGGAACGAGCATGCTGGAAAGCACGTTACCCACGAGCGCTCTAGTAGAATCAGACAATAGCGTAGTACGATCGACATTAATGGTTTCTTGCGTTACAAGGGTTAGTTGCATAACTATTACTGAAGTAGGATCAATACCATCTTCATTAATCAAAGATCCTGCGAGTGCGAGTAACTTGTAAAATTTAAAGTTGATCGGAAGCACATCTGGTGGAAGCTGGGGTTGGTTAATGTAGGGGTTTCTTCTTTGGCTGACTAGGGTTTCAAAGTGTCTGTATATCGACATGCTTCTAAGTAAGAATTAATAGTAATGTTGGACAATAAAATGGGAAAATATAGAGGGCTTGTGTGAGCTATATGGGATGACAAAGTATGTATGTGTATATATATATATGTATATATCTCTCCTAAATCGACTGGGACAAGGATTATTTTTATTTTTTTCACAGTCAAAATGGTACAAGGACTAGGAATTGTTAGAAATTCGAGTAAAATAGACGCACCTTGTATAATTAGATTAAAGCATCTTAACTACAACCTAATTTCCCTTTTTTTTTGTTAAGATCAGGCATATCTTCTGGCTTTTTGTTTTTAAATTTGTTAATTTTATCACAAGCGTCATATGAATTATTAATTAATTAATTCAAAATCCTCAAAGTTTGCATTATTGGAAGATTAATTATCTTTTCATAGTGTTTTTGTTACACATTCCTTCTGATATGCAACATCCTATCTATATATGAGGGTTGGGATTAGGATGAGTATTATCTTGACATGCCATTTGCTTAGAGCTAATCTACAACCCAAATATGGAAAAGTAAATAAATAAAAAAAGATTAATTACATTGCATTTTTATTAACTAACGCGTTCCATAATCTACAACCCAAATATGGAAAAAGTAAATAAATAGAAAAAGAAACTTTTGGAGAAAATACCTAAAAATAAAAAAGGAAACTTGCTACTCAAGTCTCAAGCATCTAAATTTCATTCTCCAACTGGTAGCATTACTCGCTTTAGGCTCAGTAGCACCGTCCTTTAGACCTGACAAATAATGTTGCAAGTTCCTTCATTTTTTCACTAACCTAAAACCATGTCAACCAGTATTAGACACTATCGTAGCCATGTCAGGCAAACAACTCAGCCCATCATCAACTTATCCTGGTTTCCAGACAACGTGCTTTCGATCAAGTTCAAATTTTTTAAGAGCGAAATCCATTGGAATATTGCTGCTGGTCAAGATGACGATAATGATCTTTACAACTCTCTTCAAGAACAATATATTCAACTCGAAACCAAAGATCTAGTTTTCGTCCACTGGAGTGAAATATTATCTGATGATGAATGTCACAGAACAAGTTATAAAATCCTCTTGTTGTGGCTCTTTCAAGCATGGATGTCCCAAAGAGTGAGCACCCCTCGATTATTTGGAAGATTTTTTGGGTGATTAAATCAGCGGTCTGTAGTGTTCCTATTCTTGTGGACATATATGATGTGACTTGTAATGTTAGTGACGATGACAGTGACATGGTTGATGAGGCTACAAGGGAATCCATGGATGCATACAATGACCGTCCTATTCCGGCCAGCGCCAAAATCGGCGATTGAGAATTTGGAGAAAGTGAGAATCTCTAATGATTTGGATGCTATGAGACACAAGTCATGCGTGATTTGTCTGGAGGGCTTTGGTCATGACTCTGAAGCAGCTGGTGTTGATGATCATCAAGTTCTTCGCTTGCCATGCTCCCACGTTTATCATGGAGATTGAATTGTTCAATGGCTAGAGACAAGTCACTTGTGTCCTTTGTGTCGATATGCAATGCCTCGTGAGCATTGATTAATTTGTGTTATGAATTGAACAAAGGTTGTTAGATCAAAGGGTTAAGATTGTACTAGTACAAAAACATGTTTGCGCGACGGAAACTTGCGCGACGCAGCAAAGTTCGTCGCGCAAAGTATGTTTGCGCGACGCTAAACACAAACGTCGCGCAAACGGCTTTTGCGCGACGACACTTTGCGTGACAAAGGCTTGCGTCGCGCAAAACATCTTTGCGCGACGAAGGTACATCTACGTCGCGCAAAACATATTTGCGCGACGCAAGCCTTTGTCGCGCAAAGTATCGTCGCGCAAAAGCCGTTTGCGGGACGTTTTGTGCGTCGCGCAAGATTTTGCTGCCAAACCAAGAATCTCAACCAAGATTTTGGCGCCGAAGCTGCTTTTGCGCAAAGTCGACGACTTTTTTTTTTATAAAATAACCACACACAAGAGCCTTTTTCTTCACACTCAACCTCTCTCTTTCAGACCCTCCATCTCTCTCAAGCCTCACCATCTTCACATTCAGGTATTGTATTTATTTGATTAATTAATTAACTATTTATTGATTACATGTATGTTTGGAATTTTTTTTTTGTGTATTTATGTTTTCCTTTAATTATCTTTGTCAATGCTTATTTTTGACAAGTTGAGTTATGGTTTTGAACAATTGAATGAGTGGAATGAATGACTAAGAGTATGAAGGATTTTGATAGGTTTAGGGAAACAAAAGCTAAGAAATTGCAAATTGCTCAGTTAATTTGATATAATTTAGGGATAGATTGATGTGTGCTAAAAAATGGATAGATTTCATTTCTCACCAAATTGGGAGGAGGAAACTACAAATTGCCAGTTTACAGCTTTGTCAAACCATTATTCTATTACGTGGTTAGTAATCATTTTAGGTGTAGTCTCTACCATTTACCATTTAGAACACGTGGTCTCATCATTTAGGTCCTTAATAAAAAATAATTTTTAGGCAGAAGTGGAAGGGGTAAACAAGAAGTTAAAACTGTGTAACGAAAAAAAAAAAAAAACTTTGCGCGACGTAGGTACACATGCGTCGCGCAAAATATCTTTGCGCGACGAATACCTACGTCGCGCGAAGATGCTTTGCGCGACGTAGGTGTACATACGTCGCGCAAAGTTTTATTTATTTTTTCCTTTTGCTTTTCTTTTGGGGTTCTTGCATTGCCTTTTTCTTTTGTGGTATTCACTTGTGTAAATGTTTTAAATTGACGATCGAATTAGTTCCTTGTATTCATATAGGATCCAAGAGTGTAGCTGTAAAAAATCATTAAAATCGGAGTTAAAATAACCGTTAAATTATGATTTTTTCGTTTATGACCGTCGAAACATTTTGTCCTGGTACTTGATCTCTGAAGGTTTGTTTTTTGCCATTTTTGGCGTATAAGATCTTGAAGCATATACAAACAAGTTTGACGGTTGGATCGTTGAAACTAGTTTCGTACAATGCGTATCCCATTAAAACGATAGATTCCCTAACATTTAGATTTTATTTATACTTTCATCAAGTATAACATAAGATTTTGTGGTATCCACTTGTGTAAATATTTTGAATTGACGATCAAATCAGTTCCTTGTATTCATATAGGATCCATAAGTGTAGCTGTAAAAAATCATCAAAATCGGAGTTAAAATAACCGTTAAATCGTGATTTTTTTTGTTTATAACAGTCAAAAAAATTTTGTCCCGTTACTTGATCTCTGAAGGTTTGTTTTTTTTCCATTTTTTGGCGTATAAGATCTTGAAGCATATACAAACAAGTTTGACGGTTGGATCGTTGAAACTAGTTTCGTACAATGCGTATTTCATTAAAACGATAGATTCCCTAACATTTAGATTTTATTCTTACTTTCATCAAGTATAACATAAGATTTTGTGGTATCCACTTGTGTAAATATTTTGAATTGATGATCAAATCCGTTCCTTGTATTCATATAGGATCCATAAGTGTAGCTGTAAAAAATCATCAAAATCAGAGTTAAAATAACCGTTAAATCGTGATTTTTTTGTTTATAACCGTCGAAAAGTTTTGTCCCGTTACTTAACCTCAGAAGGTTTTTTTTTTTTTGCCATTTTTGGTGTATACGATCTCGACTCATATACAAACAAGTTTGACGGTTGGATCGTTGAAACTAGTTTCGTACAATGCGTATCCCATTAAAGCGATATATTCCCTAACACTTTGGATTTTATTTATACTTTCATCAAGTATAACATAAGATTTTGTGGTATCCACTTGTGTAAATATTTTAAATTGATGATCGAATCAGTTCCTTGTATTCATATAGAATCCAGGAGTGTAGTTGTAAAAACTCATCAAAATCGGAGTTAAACAAACCGTTAAATTGTGATTTTTTCGTTTATAACCGTCGAAAAGTTTTGTTCTGTTACTTAATCTTTGAAGGTTTTTTTTTTTGCCATTTTTGGTGTATACGATCTCGAAGCATATGCAAACAAGTTTGACGGTTGGATCGTTGAAACTAGTTTCGTACAATGCGTATCCCATTAAAACGATAGATTCCCTAACACTTGGATTTTATTTATACTTTCATCAAGTATAACATAAGATTTTGTAGTATCCACTTGTGTAAATATTTTAAATTGACGATCGAATTAGTTACTTGCATTCATATAGGAACCAGAAGTGTAGCTGTAAAAAATCACCAAAATCAGAGTTAAAATAACCGTTAAATCATGATTTTTTTGTTTATAACCGTCGAAAAGTTTTGTCCCGTCACTTGATCTGTGAACGTTTGTTTTTTGTGATTTTTGGCATATGTGATCTTGAAGTATATATAAACAAGTTTGACGGTTGGATCATTGAAACTAATTTTGTACAATGCGTATCCCATCAAGTTCAATGGTGTATATATATATATATATATTTATTTATTAAGTAGATTTAAATTTATTTATTTTGTATGTATAACACTTAAGAAACTGAATGGTATGTGTATTTATTAAGTAGCTTTAAATTTATTATTGTAGCTTGGGTCTAAATTTTGTTAAAAAATATATTATTGTGGGTTTTATGTAAAAAAAAAATTTAAGGAGAATAAAGTTAATTTTTAGTAAATTTTTATAATAAATATTTTTTTTTTGAAATATACTTTGCGCGACGACAGAATGTGATCGTTGCGCAAAAGCACTTTGCGCGACCTCATAATTTATAGCTGCGTCGCGCAATTGTTAAAATTTTGGCGGTATAATTGAAACAAATAAACGCTTTTTAGGGCTTAATTGGAAAAGATTCCAGACGCTACCCGCCCATCTGTCTCTCTCTTCCCTCTGGCTCGCTCGGTCTCTCTCCCCTCTTGCTCATCTCGCCCTCTCTCTCACTCCGTCTCGCTCACGCTTAGAGCCGAGTGCTTCTCCTGCTTATTTTCACACAGCACAAGCTCACAATCTCCCCTCTCCACACCCAGACGACGTCGTTTGCTTCGGTTTCCTCTTAAGAACAACTTGGAGTTGAGAGTCCTTTCTCGTTCACACAGTTGGCTCTGCGTGCGACTGTGTCTGAGCGATGAGCAGTCGAGCAGTGGAAGACGACGCACTGGCCAAAACCGCAAGAGCTGTCGAAGCTCTTTACCTCCTCCGAGACACCTACTTTTCGGCCGACCCGGATGACAAAATCTCCAGATTAAACATCGATTCCGATCTTGCCCTCAACCTCCTCGATTCCATTCCTCTTGGTAATTTTTCCATTTACCCATTTCGTTTTAATCTCTGTTAATTCCATTTGAAGCTGACCTAAGTGCCCTTTTATTATAAACCCGATTTGTGCCTTTCTCTTTTGTGGGTTTTCGTTGATATGCTCGTTTCAACTTTGAAGTTCCAATTTTGGACTACATTGGTACACATAGAAGCTTAAAATTTGAGAAATAGACTAAAAAGTTGATGAATTCAAAATCTCCCCCTGATAAAAGTGTTGTTTCTGTAACGATAATGCCTACATTGTGTTCTCGAATCGCTGTCACTGCTAATTCCTTTATTATATATTTTTGCACTTGTATTTGTATCTTATTAGTTCAAGTTTCAAACACTGTGTCTTTTACCAGAGCAAAGAAAACATCCGGCTCAATGTGCGAAATACGAATATCTTAGAGGAAAGATACTGGATGTTTTACCGAACTATAGAAAAGAAGCAGAGGATAATCTCTCAAAGGATGTAAGAATGCATTGTGACTTCCTGTAGTTGAGCATGTTTGTAATGCTTTCAGTTCACTTCCTGAAATATAAACGGCGATGTAGGTTAAGTTGAATCCATCTCTTGCAGATGCTTGACTATGTTTAGGTAACTGCACTTAGAAGAAGGGAGATCTATCTTCAGCCAAGAACTGCTTTAATCTTGCCTTAAGCAAGGTTCTTCTTGATTAGATTTTTGTAGTTTTATTACAGTGACCTCTCGATTCATTGTACTATAAATTTTATGATTGATATGTGCATTGCGTTTGGAGGCATGGTCCAAACAGGCAGATACTTTGTCAACTTTCGATGCTTGAAAGAAAAATGGCTCAAGGCAACCATTTTGTCGCTCAACTTGTTTTTCCTGTTGTTTTTCATGATGTGTGTGTCATTATGCTTACCAAGTTTTCATCATTTTTCTAGGTACCGACAATGAGGCAGAACTTGTTGATGAAAGCATTCAACATGCCAAGGAAGCCATAACTCTTGATGTCAAGGATGGCAATTCATTGTGTAAAATCTCATAATCAACCTTCTCAAAAAGTTTTATGTTCTTCGGATTTGAGTAAGATTTATACTTGATAAGTTGTATAGCATGTAACACTTCTGCAATCTTTGAAGGCATACCAAAATGCTGCAAGTGCTTAAAGTAAGAACTACCGCAGAGTCAGTTGTCTATGTGCTGTATTTCTTGTAAGTATGGATCTTCTGTCAGTTAGAAGATGTTCTAATGTTTTATGTTGCGTATCAGGAAAAGGATGAAAGAATGCAGTCCAATCCAGACCTATATTTTAACTGTGCCACTGTAAGCTCAGTTTTTCTTGTGTGGAATTAATACTCATAAGTTTGTCAAGTAGATGATGATCCGTCAATCTTTCTTTTCTATGAATCAGCGTCTAGATAGGTTAAAGATAGAGTTTTACTAATACAAGTGGAGAGAATAGGAAACAGTAATGATAAATTATATATTATTTTCTGTTTTTGTTAAGTAAAGAGGAGGATGTATGAAGTGACATAAGTTGGTGTTGATGGTGGCCCTGCTGCAAAGGATTTGGCTCCCAAGTTTAATGTGTTCAAGAAAAATTTATCTGTTAAGCTAGGGGTTACAATACTGGAGATAGACGTAAGTCTTTTTATTTCTTTCTCTGCAGTTTCTCCCTTGGATTCTATGGTCAGTTGCGTATTTGTAGTTTGACTTTTGATATCGGAATTCAGATTTCAATTAGCTTGCTCAGTTAGTGGGTCGTTTCCCAAAAGTGAAAATGGACATCATGGAGTTAAACCCCAATTCTTTTGAATTGGATTGTAAATCCGGTTTTCGGCCTGGGAAGCCCAGGAAGGCGAGATTGCAACCCAGTTTTTCGGCCCAGGACGAGAAGATGAGTATGATCTTACGAGCTTTACAGATGTTCAGCCTCCAAATCTTGATGTCAGCACTTGATCTTGCTCCACCTTCGACCTCCCAACCACTTCGCTTAGTCGATACCCAGTAGCTTGATGCATCAAGATTAGAAGGCTACTTGTTGTAGTTTTTTTTTTTATATTTTTTTATATTCGAACATCTTGTATGTACATTTTCATATATTTTATAAATAAATATTGTTTCTTGGTTTATTAATTATTGTTTAGAATTTAATTACAATATTTATTCTTCTAAAAAAAAAATACAATATTTATTAAAAATTAAATAATTTTTGCAAAAAAAAAAAGGTTTGCGCGACGAAGAAGTTCCTACGTCGTGCAAAACAACTTTGCGCGACGCAAGTCCCTACGTCGCGCAAAATCCACTTTGCGCGACGCATGTAACCCGTCGTTGCGCAAAGTGGATTTGCGTGACGCATTATACGTCGCGCAAAACAGCTTTGCGCGACGTAGCCTACGTCGCGCAAAGTGGATTTGCGCGACGATGGGGTACATGCGTCGCGCAAAGCCTTCTGTCACTGCCTTGCCGCGACGGTTTGCGCGCGACGAAGGTGAGTTGGGCAAAGTTTTGCGCGACGTTTTTTTACTTTGCGCGACGAATGACCTGCGTCGCGCAAAGTGTTTTTTTTACTAGTTTAGATCGAAAGGATAAGATTGTGTAAGGGAGTTGGGCCAAAATTGTATAAGGGTTTTGTAATTGGGTTCAATTGAGAATTTGGGTTTTTGAGAGAGTCCATTTGATTAGCTTGTTAATTGTCTAGTTGGCATACAGGTAGGTGTATTGTTGTGAGGATATATAGGAGACTAATGAGTTGTAACGAATTCAATTGGAAAATAAATAGTATCTTTCTTTGGTTTTTATCCTTTGTCTTTCGCTCTCTGTTCGTTGAGTCGGCATCGCCAGTGCAGGTTGAGACCTTGTTGGTCTGGGTTGTATCATTTGGTATCAGCCATCCGATCGCTGGTTTTCCCTGTGCATGCCCCGTTACACGAATACCACTGGCTTCACAGCCATGGACGCCCGGGTTTCTTCCATTGAAGCTTCCCTCGCCGACCTTCCTTCTCTCATTACTTCAGCGGTCAACACTGCGTTCGATTCCAAGATCAATTCTCATCTTGACAATCGTTTGCCTCTCTACTTTGAACAATTTCGCAGAGAGCTGAATTGTTCGCACGTCGACGACGGTCCATCTGCTGCACCGCCCACCGATTGTCCACCGCCACATGTTGGGGATCAGCCACCGCCTACTCGGACTTCTCATTTGGGCGGGGGGGGGACCTCCACCACGTTTGCCGTGGTCTCCACGCCTAGATTTTCTGCGATTTGTTGAGGGTGACGATCCACTTACCTGGATCTATAAGGCGGAGCAGTTCTTCTCTTTTTACAACATTCCAGATGCTCAACGAGTTCTTACTGCTTCTTTCCATCTTGAAGGTGAGATTCTCAACTGGTTTCGTTGGTTAGATTGCTTGCATACTACTCCCACTTGGTGGGAATTTACTAAGGCGCTGTGTATGGAGTTTGGTCCTTCGGAGTTTGAAGATAGTGCTGAAGCACTCTTCAAACTTCGCCAAACTGGAAATCTTCGTGACTATATCCCTGAATTTAGGCGTTTAGCAACTAGGTCACCAGAAATTGGCCCTACCTTGCTTAAGAGTTGTTTCATTGGTGGCTTGAAGAAAGAACTGCGTTTTGATGTGAAAATATTGAAACCTGTTAGTGTTCATGAGGCCATTTCTTTAGCTATGCAAGTAGATGCTAAGTGCATTGAGCTTAAACCCCCTAATTCACGATCCATTGTTCCGTTCAAATCACCTACTACTACTTCCACTATCCCGTCTTCCACTACATCTCGTCCGGGTACCTACCCTATCAAAAAATTGTCTCCTGATGAGATTCAAAAGAAACGGGAACGCGGAGAGTGTTGGTTTTGTCCTGCTAAATGGGAAATGGGGCATAAATGTGGTTTGAAACAACTTCTAATGTTGGATGGCTTGGATTCTGATGTGCTTGACTTGTCTATTTCTGAGGAAATTAGTGAATGTCAACACATGGAGCTCAGTTCATGCGCTTTCTATGGTACTCGGGATAACCAAACACCTCATACTATGAAGGTTGAAGGAATACTTAATGGGCACCGTGTTATGATACTGCTTGATTCTGGAAGCACCCATAATTTTGTGGATTCCAAGTTGTTGAAACAATGGGGACACATCGCTTCTCCCACTAAAGATTTTGAAGTCATGATCGCGGATGGTGGAAAAGTGCGTAGTTCCGGGTGTTCCAGGGCTAATCCGCTTACCTTGGGGGAGTATAATTGTACGGTTGATCTATTCTCGTTGCCCTTGGGCGGTTGTGATGTTGTTTTAGGTGTACAGTGGCTATCAACTGTGAGTCCAATTCTGTGGGACTTTCAATTATTGATAATGGAGTTCACAAAGGATAACCACTGATACCGATTGTCTCATACTGTGCCTCTACATCCATTAGTCCGAGAGAGTTCTCTTCAGCACATGGATAAGGAGTTGTGTAACTCTAACTTGGGCCTTTTTCTATATTCTATGGAGAAGAAGACATTAGAATCTTGTGACTTAAGTAAGGAGCAGTTACATGAACTTCAGCAACTGTTGGGACAATTTGAAGATATTTTTCAGATTCCTACCAAGCTACCACCTCCTCGTGCCCATGATCATTACATTCCTCTGGTACAAGGAGCTAAACCACCAAATATTAGGCCTTATCACTATGGTCCTTTACAGAAAACTGAAATTAAGAATGCTGTTCAGGAGTTATTGGTTGCAGGGTTCATTCGCCAGAGTCACAGTCCCTTCTCATTTCCGGTACTTTTAGTGAAAAAGAAGGATGGCAGCTGGAGAATGTGTATCGACTATAGAGAGCTTAATGCTCTGACCATCAAGGACAAATACCCCATTCCACTTATTGATGATCTATTGGACGAATTGTATGGGGCATGGTATTTCACTAAACTTGATTTACGATCTGGATACCATCAAATTCTGATGAGTGCTAGTGATGTGGAAAAAACAGCGTTTAGAACTCACGAAGGACACTACGAGTTCTTGGTGATGCCTTTTGGTCTTACCAATGCTCCTGCTACTTTTCAAAGCTTGATGAATGATATATTCAAACCTTACCTCAGGAAGTTTGTCTTGGTGTTTTTTGATGACATCTTGATATATAGCAAAAGTTGGGTGGATCACTTACTACACTTGCAGATGGTATTAGAAGTTATAAGGGCAAACCGAGTGTATCTTAAGAAATCCAAATGTTCATTTGGACAATCAAGTGTTGAATATTTGGGCCATATCGTATCTCGTCATGGGGTAGCGGCTGATCCTTCCAAATTGTCAGCTATCCAAGAGTGGCTTACCCCAAAATCTGTCAAAGAGTTGCGAGGCTTCCTTGGATTAACCGGGTACTATAGAAAATTTGTTCCGGGGTATGGTAAAATCTGTCAACCATTGTATCAGTTGACTCGGAAAGATGGGTTTCATTGGAATCAGGAAGCTACCCAAGCTTTTGCAAACTTGAAGGCAATCATGGTATCTCCACAAGTCCTGGCTCTTCCCAATTTTTCTCAACCTTTCGAATTAGAGTGTGATGCATCGGGTAGTGGTATAGGGGCTGTTCTTCAACAAGGGGGAAGACCAATAGCATTCACTAGCCAAGCACTTGGTCCTCGCAATCAAGCATTCTCCACTTATGAAAGATAGTTAATTGCTATAGTGTATGCAGTCAAGAAGTGGCAGAATTACTTGCAAGGGAGACACTTTGTCATTCACACGGACCACAACAACCTCAAATATTTCTTAAGTCAGAGAACAAGCACCCCATTCCAACAGAAATGGGTATCGAAACTTATGGGGTATGACTATGAGATTCAATATAAGCAAGGGTCTCAAAACGTAGTAGCTGATGCATTGTCCCGGTTACAAGAAGCACCTTTATTGCAAGAACAAGGCATGGGGACTCCTATAAGCAGTGAATGTGTTGCTATCTCTTATCCTTATGCAGGGTGGATGGATGAGTTGAGACGAAGTAGTGAAAAAGATGGATGGATTATGGAGAAGAAGAACGAGTGGATACAAGCTCAGCAGGAAGAGTCAAGTAATTCGAAGATGAATCGGTATTCTTTTGACAATGGATTCCTCTGTTACAAGAAAAGAATATTGATAGGACCGGATTCAGAATGGAGGGTCAAGATTATTGAAGAGTATCATTCAACCCCTTCTACCGGGCACCAAGGAGTACTCAAAACCTATCATAGAATTAAGAAAGGATTTTATTGGAAGGGAATTAAAAAAGATATTCAAAAGTTCATAGCTGAATGTCCTATTTGCCAACGAAGTAAGGTTGAGAACATTTCACCTCCAGGCTTACTTCAACCACTTCCCATACCTCAAAGAGTTTGGAGTGATATCAGTATGGACTTTATTGTGGGTCTACCAAACTGTAAGGGCAAAACTGTGATTTGGGTGGTAGTGGACAGAGCTTCCAAGTATGCTCATTTTGTTCCAATGTCACATCCATATACTACATCTACTGTAGCACATCTTTTTATAGAACATATATTCAAACTTCATGGAATGCCCAATTCTATTGTGAGTGACCGAGATCCGGTTTTTATAAGTGCCTTCTGGAGAGAACTTTTCAAGTTACAGAATTCAAAGTTGTGTATGAGTTTAGGGTATCACCCCCAGAGTGATGGGCAATCAGAAGTAATGAACAGGTGTTTAGAGACTTATCTACTGTGTTTTGTAGGGGGACAGCCTAAAAAATGGTGTCAGTGGTTACCATGGGCTGAGTGGTGTTTTAATACCTCATTTCACACTTCCACCAAGCATACTCCTTTTGAAATAGTTTACGGATACTCTCCACCTCAGATAATTCCTTATGAGTCAGGGACTGCAA